TTCGACCCGAACTTTCGACTCTAACCTTTTGAAGCCAAGCAGGCTCGATGTTTTGGTATTTTTTTTTTTTACATTTTTTTTTAATATAAAGAAGGCAGCCTCTGCTGCCTTAAAATTAAGGTTTAAGGCAGGAGGTTGCTGCAGGGGCCGGCTTGGGCTTTGCTCGACACCCCAAAATGGGGCTCGACCCAAGCTTCGGCTCAGTTCTCCCGAGCCTCAAGCCGGAAGGGCTCGAGCTTTTTCCTAGCTGAGCCACGGGCGCCTCGAGCTAATGAGTCCGATTGTCATCCGTAAGTATATCACATATATCAGAGCTCGAACTTTTTTCGAGCCGAGCCAACAAGCCCGATTGCCGTCTCTAGGTGTAAATATATCTTGGATCGTTTGCCTACGAGTGTCAACGAGCCAAGCTGAGCAAAAGCTCGACCATAAAATTAAAGCTCTACTCAAGCTTTCAGCTCAGGACTTGTTGGGCCGAGCTAAGCTTTTTAGAATTTTTTTTCTTCTTCTCTAAGCTGTCAGTTTGGCAGCTAAAATAGCTGTCAAACAGGCAGCAGTTTTTCTTTCTATTTTTTATTTTATTTTTACGTCTCAGTCAAGCAACACGTGCCGGCCGAGCCAACTCCCTGAAATAGGGCTCGGCCCGAGCCTTGAACCGGGTCGGGTCGGGCTTTTCGGGCCAAGTCACAGACGGCTTGAGCTAGCGAACCCGATTGCCATCCCTAGGCCTTAGGCCGGCCTTAGAGCGACCTGCCTGCAAGGTCCCATATATAGACTCGACAAAAAAGAGAAGCTGATACGAAAGGTTTAGTTTTGTGTTGGGTTATTCCAAGGCCGCCACATGCCAAGCCTAGTTGCAGGGCCAGGCCACGTTAATGAGCCGCACTAGATTATGATACTTTTTAGTTGTATCACGCTCCAAAAAAGGGGTCCTCAAAGCCGGGTCATGGCCAGCCAGGTTGGTATCAAGCCTGCTGATAATCATGAGCTCTATAAACTGGCATATACCAAATAGAAATACTGCAGCAGCCTGGTGCTTATTCCATACAGAAAAGTGTCAATGCATATGACTTATTCATTTTTAATTCTTCAATAATTAAGAATACAAAATCATATGAATAGTTTACCCAAATTTATCAGTTTAAGCAGCTGCTATAGAAAGATTTTTTTTCTCTTCTAGCTTGCTTGCATGTACAGTAAGCAGTTCATGTTGCACAACCTGTGACCAAATGCACAAGTTTTGCATAAGCAAATGAATCAGGAGCAGTTAAACAGTGAAAAAGAAACGTACCTCTATTAATTTGGATTCACTTGTGCAAATCAAGTAACTTGAAATTCTGGCTTTCTCTTGTTGTAAGCATTCCTCAACCTATATTATATAACAAGAAAGTACAATGAGCCACAATGAGCCTATATCCCAGGAGCCTTCCAATTCTTTTCTTCGTTTATTTTGATGAATATTCTGCCTAAAAAAAGAAGGAAGAACTAATAATTCATGACTGACCTTAAGCATGTAATTCTCGTAGGGCTTGTTTTCAATCCAGTTCAAGGCCTTTCGAAAATAGAACGTAGATGTGGCTTTGATCATCGACTCTTTGAAATCTTCTTCGTTGTGTTCTTGCCCGTCTCAACGTAAATATCCGGAACTGACTTCACCGTGGCCTGATCAATCTGTTCTCCCTCTCGTTCCCTATCAATCTAAGATGATAATTGCATGTTACTACATCTCGAAAAAGTGCTCATGGATTCACAAAAGAAAAGAGTAGCTTTCTTCAAATTTAGTAGGAATTAGGTTTAGAAATTATAGTACATGTCTGAGCCAGATCATCGTGACACGTATTTCTAAAGATTGGTAGAGGCAGACTAATAGTAAACATAGTTGAATCAGAAATATATGCACACAAAACAATATTGACAAGTTTAATGAAACAGGAGCCAAGGCGACTTGAAAATCTCAAACATACCAAGGATATTACGGCATCTCTAACTTGATAGTTTATTTCCGTGTAAACCTACAACATGCATAGAACAAAATATCAGATAAAAATGAAATGACGAACAATTTCCGGGGAAAAACCCGAATTAGTAAAAAAGCTTTTATCACCAACCAGATTATAGAATGCCAGATGGCTTGTTCTTTCAAGTGAAGGTAGCTTCTTCCTAACAATGAAGTATCTTTCGAGGTAATAAAAGAACCTTGAAAGCCATCGGACCATAGTCTTGTGATTATTCCATCTTCTCAACAATTCTTGTAACAAAGACTCGTCTTTCTTTCCCCTCAGAGATGGCAACACCTTGAAATGACGATAATAGAGATATAACTAATACATTCAGTGCATGATTGGTATGCAGCACTCGACTGAACAATACAATGAACAAGCTATTAATATTTTCCGACAACAAGCATGATTGGTATGCAGCACTCGACTGGACAATACGATGAACAAGCTATTAATATTTTCCAACAACGAGCATGTAGAATATCTTCAAAGTTTACTAACCTTGGAAGAGATGTAGTCTTCAAAAGTCTTTTTATAATGATCATACATTTTCCGAGCTTTTGGACCGACCTGATCGGGGGCACATACATTGTACACTATTCTGGCGAATGGAGTTAAGAATATGCAACGCAATAAATGGATTTCAACTACAAATGCTAAATCAGTTAAGAGTTAAGACCACTACAATGTGACATCAAAAACATGAGAGTAATTACTATCAGTAAAAACTGAAAAATAATGAACAGAAAATTAAGCCCTTGTTAGACCCCCCCATTTTCTAAAACTTTTTTTTCCTTAAATTCATTTTCAACCGCGTGTTATATAGACCCACTACTTTTATTAACTTTTCAACCACATATTTCATTCATCAACTTCTATAACAATCTACTTAAAAAATTGATTTTTTGCCAAACCAAACAGGGGCTAAATGACCTTTGATTTTACATCTTTCATAGGCACAAAAACAGCACAAGTATATGTTAAAGTAACATCCAACATTCAAAATGCATCCAGCCAACAAGTAGCAGTTGTGGGAATAAGTAACTTAAAAGTTAGTTTCATTTCACAAAAAGTGACTTTTAAGCAAAACCATTTTGACATTTTCTAAAGCCAAAACAAGCATACGACGGTTACAAAGTAAAGTTAGTAATAACAAGACAAAAGAAAAAGAACGGATTATACTTTGCTAATTGCTACACAGTGACAGATTTTACGAGCCTGTTTGGTTCAGTCCACCAGCTTTAAATTAAATAAATATAAGTGAATCCAGCTCCAGGAGAACCAAAAAAAATTATTGGGGTGGGGGAATTTTTGCTAAAATCCAAGGAAAATTAAAAAGATACGTGTAGAACCGCATATACTCTTCAGAACTCAACTCGTGTTTCTGAACTCCTTCCAGATTGTCAATTAGCTTGTTAATGGCTTCTTCCTGCAAAAGGGTCCATGCTTCTTCAAAGCTTAAATCGCGTTTCAAAGATGCGGCCCTTGCCATTATTTGCTGCTTCAAGGCTCCTGTGATAATGACTAACAGGCTGATAACGTAAGATAATTGTTGAGCTCCTTCCCAGAATTTGTATGGAAGTTTCTATTTTGAATATATTAATTTCAGTAAAGGTAGCTGAAGTTTGTTAAGAGTTTCAAAATGATCATTAAAGTCTTTTTCTTATAATAGTGATTACTCAAATTTCTAATACTTACGTTAATGGCCACTCGACTGAAAATGTAATAAAAAATATTTCTTGACACCATAAATACCAACGTCTACACAAATGGTGTTAGCGAGAATGTCATGTCAGATATGGAGCCTGTTTGGAAGTATTTTTGAGAATTGATTTTTTAACAGTTAGGAGAAAAGTGTGGTTCACCTGTGAGAGAAGAAGTCAAACATGACAGCTGAAATAATGAAATAACGGTCAAAAAATCAATTTTTTTGGATGAAAAAAACACTCTCAAACAGGCTCATGATATTTTTTGTATTCATAGAAATTAATCGAAAAAGCATCTTTACATTTAAAGCTATAGCATTTGTGTAATATGTTTTCACACATGAACTATCTAAACTTGGTTCCTCACCTCCTCAATTCATTAATAACATCGATAGTAACCGTTCGAAATTTGATAATACTACTGTAAACATATACTACAATTATAATTTCGAAATTTTTAACAAAGTTCAGTGACCGATGCTGAAATTAATCCAAATATATATTAAAATGGCATCTTTACAGGCTGGTTCTAGCTTCATTTGTCAATTTGTCCACCTGTCCGAGCTAACGATTCTGTTGGCTTGGAAAGCCAAAACTTGGGGTCTTTTTATAATAAAATAAATAGTGTCTATTTGATTTGAATAAAAATTAAATTTTTAATAAATTTTGATAAAAGTTGATGAAATATGATTGAAAATTATGAATCTTATACTTAAAATTAATTATTAACTTTGACTTAAATTTTTCTTAACACTCTTAATTTTGAAAATAAATTAAAACCATCTATATCAAAAAAGTCCATCATATTTTAGAACGTTTTTAATATTCAACGATACCTTTTTAAAACATTTTCATCCAATGATTTAATTTTCTTGAATTTGAATTGGAATATTTTAAATTCCTCAAATCTACTCTGAAGTGAAGAAATGAATCGACCAATCATGTAAATAAAATAATCAATTCTAAATAATTATTCACAGAATTATATTTTATCATCATTATAAACATTTTCATCAAATTGTTTTGTTCTACCAATCACATTTTTTTCTTGAAGTATGGGTTCCACTTCAATTTATTTGTTATTTCTTTGGCATAAAGTGATAGAAAATCCATTTTCCATATAATTTTCAAAAAAATAAAAAAATAAAAAACGAAAAAGACCTTTTTATCATACCAAATAGTCATACTCAACAAAATTTCGAAAACCAGTTAAGTAAAAACACATTATAGTCCTCAGCAATTAAGTACAAATATCAAACTCAATTCAATATTCAAGGACAGAGAAACAACATGCACGGAAATGAAATTTCTCAAAATACATCAAGATTTCCAGTACTCACAATTTCTCAATAAACCAGCGAAAATATGCAGAACATAAAATAGCTTAAAAGCCAAAGAAAAAAAGGGAAAAAAAAAAGAAGAAGAAGAAGAAGAAGAAGTCAAAATGGCATTTTTCTGCAGTATCAAGTATGATACTGCCAAAATAAGTAGCCAGACATGCTTAATTTCCATCCATACATTTTATGCAGCTGTCTCAGGGATGTGTTTCTTTTCTTCTAGTTTGCTTGCATGTACATTAAGCAATTCATGTTGTACAACCTGTCATAAGAGCCATAAGTTTTGGATAAAAATAAGTTTAAGTATAAGCTAACTCTTGGAATTAGGCTCAGTTAAACAAACCTCTAATAATTTGAATTTACTTCTGTAATTCAAGTAACTTGAAGTTCTGGCTTTCTCTTGTTCCAAGCATTCCTCAACCTATATATATATCAAGTGTTAGGTAGTTAAGAACTCGCTCTTCAGACTAAGTTAATTGGCTCTAACCTTAACCATGTAATTCTCATAGGACTCGGTTTCAATCCAGTTTAAGGCCTTCTGTGAATAGAACGTCGTCGTGTCTTTGATCATTGATTATTCAAAGTCTTTTGCATAGTACTTCATAGAATTCTCGCCAATTTCCAAGTAAATATCGAGGACTGACTTCACCATGGCCTGGTCTATCTGTTCCCCCTTGCGTTCTTTGTCAATCTAAGATAATGACATTCGATAAATATGCTCTTGAATGTACACAAGAAAAAATAGTTCTCTTACTAGTGATCGTTTGGTACACTACATTGGACACTATTGCATAGTACAAAATCAAAATACAAGAAATCGAGTCTCAAGGTAATCTTATGTCAACGAGTATGTTATATTTAAACGGATGGAAGCATTCTATACTGTGCGTAAAGCCCAATCATATTGTTTAGTTATTTCGTCGACTACGGTAAGTAGACGTGCTCTTATGTAATCAAACAGCAAAAAAAGCTCGTCCAAATTCTCAAACGTACCAATGATAGAATGGCATCTCTAACTTCATTGTTGATTTCTGAGTAAACCTACAAGTATACAAAAATTCAGATACAAGCAAAATGCCAACTATTTTCTAGGAACATCAACAGATTGAAATTCGACATTTAGTGCTTGTTTGATGAAACTTTGCTAAAATTTATCAACTTTTCAACTGGTCAAACTTTAATTTTAATAATATATTTTATGAAATCCACAACTTTTTTCAACTTTCATCAAAATATGCTAAAATTCTTATCAAAAGCTAAGGTTTTGAAACTCGACAAATGTAAAGAAGTTTTTATTACTAACCAGATTATAGAATGCTGAGTGGCCTGTTCCTTCAAGTGAAGGCAGCTTCTTCTTACTAATGAAGTATCTCTGAAGGTAATGAAAGAACCTTGAAAGCCATTTGACCATAGTCTTGTGATTATTCCATCTTCTCAGCAATTCTCGTAACAAATTTTCATCGTTCTTTCCCCTTAGAGATGGCAATACCTAACACGATTTGACAGTACAATGGTCAATTTTGTCTAGCACGCCTGTAGAATTTCTTAAAGTTCACCTACCTTGGAAGAAATGTAATCTTCAAAAGTCTTTCTATAGTGATCGTACAGTTTTTCAGCTTCGGGACCCATTGGATTAGGGTAACATACATTATAAACCGTTCTGCGAATTGAGTTAAGATATGCAAGTCGACTAGATGAATCATTTTCTACCATTTATCAATTCAACAGCACCCTTTTAATCATCTAACACAAGACATTTGACCAAAACAATTCATACCAATTCCTGAAAATACATAAATCATATATAGATGAGACTAAATTTAAATAAATATATGGCTACAACTTAATGTTTTAGATGAGATGATTTCATTTAAAGCTAAAGATGAAGAATCAAATTCCTGAAGTCAAATGAACCACAAAAACTTTGAGACGAGCACGAGCCGGCTTGCTCAATCAAAGTGTGGCTTGACTCGTAGTCGTGGCTCACCAATATTTTTTTGATTGAATTGTATTTTTCACTAATTACGACGAGCCGGCTTGCACACATATTTTATCCAGGAAATCCAGAAAATAGATAAGGAAATTTGACCTATCAAGCAATCATCTTATTCCTTACTTAATGAACTAGTGATTCAAAATTTCCTCCCCAAGAAACATGAGACAGATTTCTGAAAGTTCAAGAACATTCAATTCTAATATGCTAATGGATATATACACACACATAGAAAAATGTGCATTATTAAATTAATCAAGTATTATTTATCATGACATCAAATATAATATAACAAAAAAATCATCTACATAAACTCTTACAACTAAAGAAATCCAACAGAAACTATTGCAAACTAAAACCCTAATTATCAGTAGAATCGCAACTAAACGAAGCCTATACCTAAATTTAACCCCATTTCTCATTCCTTAACATGCAATCACGAATCATTTGGCTTAAAATTAATTCAATACACCTCTAATATCCAGGATTAAATGCCATAAAAAATCACAAAGGAAGTAAAATCAATCGCAAATAAAAGAAATTATAAAGAACTCATCGAGACGCATATTGACACCTACCAACACGCATGTCGTATATATACTTATATGTATATATGTAGAGAGAGAAAATACCTGAAGAGGAGAGAGATGGCTCGGGTGAGATGTGAATTTCTCCTTTTTCCTTTTCTCTTGATCGATTTTACACAGCTTTAAATTTATAATGTTTGTTACCTCAAACTTTCATAATTAATGTTTGTTACCCACATAGTTTGTTGTTTATTCTTTTGACAACTCAAGGACTTTTTTATATTTGCCAAAGTGACCCAATATTTTATAATATTTAAGTTTTAGTATATAGGGTTTATAGATGGAAAATTTAATGCAGTTTGAACAAGTTGGGGTTTAAATAGGGACAAGAATGTAATGTGATTTTGATGTTTTGTCTTTTGTATACACCAACAAAAATTTATAAAAACACAAATTTATGAAGTATTTGATCATCACATGTTAAAGTGATTTTTAGTGCTTGTTTGAATAAAATTATAAGCTGTTGAAAAATTATAATGTGAGTGAAATTAATGATAAATAAGTTGACAGTAGTCGTCCATCTAATGAAATATGGTGTTAAAAATTATGTTTGACTTTGATCACTAAATTATGCCCCAGTTTGATCTCCATTCTTTTGAAAAAATTTATTCTTAAACAGTGTTTTGATGTTATTTAAATCACACATTCTTTAATAAAATAATATTACACGTAAATTCAAAATCTTTCTTATTTTTTAACCATACATATTCATCAATACATTATTCAGAAATGTATTCTTATAAATATAAAAAAAAAAAAATTGGGCTCAAACAAGGGCTATAAGTGATTTATAATGTTACCAAAATATGCACTTGGACATATTTTTTTTCACATGGAGAATGTGAAATAACATAATAATATATTTACACACAATTGAAATAAATAGTTATCATTATAAGATAACTTTAAAAGTTCATAATAATATTAAAAATAAATTAGATCACATTGGTGCAATGCGATAACCATGATTCGAGAATCTGCAAATCACGATTAAGGTGAGCTAACAATATCAAGTCAATATGAACTTTCTTAAACATTCTAACTAGAGCTCAAATATATAATATAAATATAAAATAATGAGGAAACCTTGTAAGAGGAAATAGGGTTAATTGTGGTGACAACCACCAAACTTTCGTTGTAGTTACAATTGCATCATTGAACTTTAATTATTAGCAATCTAGTCACTTAACTTCAATTAACAACAATTAAACCATTTTGTTTGTATATATTTGTTACACGTTTCTTTGAGCTTCTATCTTCCACTCAAATTAACTACCTCTGAAAAATTTCTATATACCTACTTGTCATTCCATAACCTCACTTACCCAACTAATGAGAAAAATTCCCTCAATTCTCTTATTTATCTCACATTACTTCATGATTTCTTTCATTTTAACATTTCATAACCTGTCTTCCCATATTTCATCATTCACTTTCTTTCCATATTTTTGGTATTTCAAAACGAGATGAAATTGTCCATCAACATTTATAGTACATATTTTATCTCGGCATTTTTCCTTAGGTTGAAACGCATTGGAAGGTTATAAGGTAAGTAACAACGTACAAGTAATTTTTCCCCATTTAATTTTTATTATTTCATATCGATAAGTATTTTGCTAATAATATGATACGATATGATATATGTGGCCAATCAATACAAATGATATGATATGAGCTTTTATCGATTCTAAAGATATGATATGACGGTACAATTTATTTTGATATGTGAATTCTAAATGTTATTCGGATTGTACTGATATTCATATCCTATCGAGTATTCACCGCACTCACCCCTTTTCTCCTATCTCACAAATTAGCATGGATCGCGTCAGAGCACGACGGTTCGATGGTGTGATCGTGCCTCGTTTCATAAAACTAAAATTTAAGATTTAAGCAAGTAATTTTGTTTCTTTTAATTTGTTTGCAATATGCATTTATGTTTAATTAAATTGTCCGGCGTGTTCAGTAAATTGTTGCTTTCTATTTTGATACAATATAATTAGTTTTTCTATTCCTTTAAATTTTAAGTTGTACATTGCGATTTTCAACCATATTTATATTATTTGGTGTAAATTCCATTTTCTTACTTTTCTGTCAATTTAAAGATTTGAATTCATAAATTGAGAGTGGCTGCCGTTCACGTTTCACCATTATAAATCCATGCCATGGCTTCTATCTTAAATTTATTTAGTTCATTTGTTAGGATTAATATATCTGGTGCACTTGTAAAATATCAATTATAAACATTGAACAAAGTAAGTAATTTTAGCCTATGTTTGAGTCCTATTCTTTCAAGAATGCATTTTTTCAAATTTATTTTCAATCACATATTCTTATATAAAATAATTATACACGTATTTCGAAAATTTTTCTTTACTTTTTAATCATACATTCTTCAAAAAATTACTATTTCATAATGCATTTTTATCCCAAAAATGGGAACCAAACATGGGCTTAATATACAATACAACGAGGCCATTGTAACCTGGGGATGATAAAATGATGTGGTCCCGCCTTGCTTCGGAATACGGGTGGGGACAAGGAACATGGGTCCCGTCATGGAACTTGTCTCGACTATTATTATTTTTTATTTTATTATTTTTGCATATGTTTTACAATTTAACTAACATTTCGAAAAAAATAAATATAAATTAAATAATGAAAAGGGAAACCAAGCCCCTGTTCGAGCCCAGTATAATGGATTGAGCCAATATTTTTTGCTGTCACTATGGGCTCGCATTAATTGATGGTGCAGGTAACTTGTAACAAGTAATTGTTTCACTTGATTTTTGAAGTACTAATAACAGGTCTATAATTTGACATTTCCATCCTACCCTCAAGTACATCAATGATAGAAAATAATGTACAACCATGAGTGCATAGGTATTTTTGGGAACAGAATTATGAAAGTGAGGGTGTAATGGACCTTTAATTTTAAATGGGATCTGTCAAAAATCTCTCATCTGAGAAATGTATTGTGCCATCAGAAATTTTTAATGCCCAAGTTACTGTTGAAAAGTGTGAATTCTCATTTTAAAAGATTCTAACCGGTGCTAAATGGGGATATTTTAATTTCACTCCATGCCACCTCCTAGAAATCCCTGGTGGGGTGGGAATGGAGAGCTCCACCCCCACCTTATTGGCATCCCTATTGTAATCGACTAACAATTCTATGAGAAAAATCAAGTGCAATTGCTATAACGAAGGAGAATTTTCTCTTTTAGGAGAGGTTGATCTAAAAGTGTAAATAGGGATGTCAACGAGTCGAATCGAGCCGAGCTGACTCACGAGTTGAAATTTTAGGCTCAGGCTCGGTTCGAGTAAAATAATCGAGCCTTTTAGCTCGACCAAAAAAATTAGGTTCGACCCGAACTTTCGACTCTAACCTTTTGAAGCCAAGCAGGCTCGATGTTTTGGTATTTTTTTTTTTTACATTTTTTTTTAATATAAAGAAGGCAGCCTCTGCTGCCTTAAAATTAAGGTTTAAGGCAGGAGGTTGCTGCAGGGGCCGGCTTGGGCTTTGCTCGACACCCCAAAATGGGGCTCGACCCAAGCTTCGGCTCAGTTCTCCCGAGCCTCAAGCCGGAAGGGCTCGAGCTTTTTCCTAGCTGAGCCACGGGCGCCTCGAGCTAATGAGTCCGATTGTCATCCGTAAGTATATCACATATATCGATGCATCAAAGCAATAATTTGGATGTGTGATAATGCATCATAGTAAAGCGATTGCATATACTTCGAGACAGTTGAAACACTATGAGTGTAACTACTTAACGCATGATCTAGAACTGTGAATGTAGTCCATTTGTTAAAGATTTTAAGAAGAGTACAATATATATACGGAAGATTCTAAAATATTTCTTCACCAAAAAAGAACTTAATATGAGATAATGAGATGGTTGGAACTCATAAAGGACTATGACTGCACTTTTCATAACCTTCCAAGTCAGGCTGATATGGTCATTGATGCTTTTAGTCTAACAAAAGTAGGATAGTTGGTAGCTTTATCTATGAAGAAAGAGTAACAAATTAAGGATTCTGAAAAGATGAGAATAGAAGATGTTTATCCCAATCGAACAACAA